AATACTTAACCCAGTGTGAGAACACTGAACCCAGTGTAATAGTACTGGACCCACTGTGATAATACTTAACCCAGTGTCATAGTCCTGGACCCAGTGTCATAGTACTGGACCCAGTGTGAGAGCACTGAACCCAGTGTAATAGTACTGGACCCAGTGTGATAGTAATGGACCCAGTGTGGTAGTACTGGTCCCAGTGTGATAGTACTGGACCCGTTGTGATAGTAATGGACCCAGTGTGATAGTACTGGACCCAGTGTGATAGTACTGGACCCAGTGTGATAGTACTGGATCCAGTGTGATAGTACTGGACCCAGTGTGATAGTACTGGACCCAGTGTGATAGTACTGGACCCAGTGTGATAGTACTGGACCCAGTGTCATAGTACTGGACTGTGTGTGATGGTATTGGACCCAGTGTGATAGTATTGGACCCAGTGTGATGGTACTGGACCTAGTGTGATGGTACTGGATCTGGTGTGATGGTACTGGACCCAGTGTGAGAGTACTGAACCCAGTGTGATAGTAATGGACCCAGTGTGGTAGTACTGGACCCAGTGTGGTAGTACTGGACCCGTTGTGATAGTAATGGACCAGTGTGATAGTACTGGACCCAGTGTGATGGTACTGGACCCAGTGTGATAGTACTGGACCCACTGTGATAATACTGGACCAGTGTGATAGTAGTGAACCCAGTGTGGTTGTACTGGACCCAGTGTGGTAGTACTGGACGCGTTGTGATAGTAATGGACCAGTGTGATAGTAATGGACCCAGTGTGATAGTACTGGACCCACTGTGATGGTACTGGACCTGGTGTGATGGTACTGGACCTGGTGTGATGGTACTGGACCCAGTGTGATGGTACTGGACCCAGTGTGATAGTACTGGACCCACTGTGATAGTACTGGACCAGTGTGATAGTAGTGAACCCAGTGTGATGGTACTGAACCAAGTGTGATGGTACTGGACCAAGTGTGATAGTACTGGACCCAGTGTGATAGTACTGGACCCAGTGTGATAGTACTGGACCCAGTGTGGTAGTATGTGACCAGTGTGGTAGTACTGGTCCCAGTGTGATAGTACTGGACCCAGTGTGATAGTAATGGACCCAGTGTGATAATACTTAACCCAGTGTCATAGTCCTGGACCCAGTGTCATAGTACTGGACCCAGTGTGAGAGCACTGAACCCAGTGTAATAGTACTGGACCCAGTGTGATAGTAATGGACCCAGTGTGGTAGTACTGGTCCCAGTGTGATAGTACTGGACCCGTTGTGATAGTAATGGACCAGTGTGATAGTAATGGACCCAGTGTGATAGTACTGAACCCAGTGTGATAGTAATGGACCCAGTGTGATAGTAATGGACCCAGTGTGATAGTATGTGACCAGTGTGATAGTACTGGACCCAGTGTGATAGTACTGGACCTAGTGTAGTAGTACTGGACCAGTGTGATAGTATGTGACCAGTGTGATAGTACTGGACCCAGTGTGATAGTAATGGACCCAATGTGATAGTAATGGACCCAGTGTGATAGTAATGGACCCAGTGTAGTAGTACTGGACCAGTGTGATGACTGCAATCTGGTATATTGAAAGGTATATGTAACTCTAAAACAGGAAATAACATGGTGTAGTCGTTAAATAATTTATTGCTTGTCCCACTGCTAATGATAGTATTATGTGTGTTAATATTGTAGGTATGGGAGGTACCAAGTTTATTTCCTTTGACAACCGTAATTGGCATAATGATTGCTTCAACTGTGTCAAGTGCCAATCATCTTTGGTTGGCCAAGGCTTCATGACTGAGGAAGAAGACATCCTTTGCCCTGTGTGTGGCCAAGCATAAGAAAGACATCCTTTGCCCTGTGTGTGGCCAAGCATAAGAGAAGACATC